AAAAAAAAACATTTCTTCCTCTAATGCCAACATTTCCAGTTTTTTGTGCTAACTCAAAACAAGTTTCATCTAAATTAAAAACACAAGATGGATCATTGAGGCATTGCGCATCATCGTCTAATAATTCATACACCTCATTAAACCATTATCTTATCGATGCTTCAGTTATAAGACCTCTGGTTCTAATATATTCTGCTCGATTTTGCGATAATTCCTAATGAATCTGCATGAGGGTGTCCCAAAAAACAACATTTTTGAAAATAATCTGCTCTCACCCCCTAAATGTGTTCTATCTAATGCAAAAACACTAAGTTTAAATTTTTTTTGAATAAAAAATATTTTAAAGGGTCCCTCAAGATCCTTGAATATTTAATGGGTCCCTAATATTTTTAAAAAAAAAGTTTTTCAAAAATATGTCAACCTGGTACTCAAAATACACAAAATTGTTATTTTTGGTTCTATTACATAAAAAATTGAGTTTTTTAAGAAAAAATGAAAAAAATGCATTTCTAATGTTTTTTTATGATAATTTTGATTATTTTTTTTTAAGTTAAAAAATTTTAAATAAGTTAAAAATATTTTGAATTGAATATTATTTTTGAAATATTTATATAATTTCGGTTCATTTGAGTACCAGGTTGACATATTTTTATAAATTTTTTTTTCAAAAATATTAAGGACCCATTAAATATTCGAGGGTCTTGAGGGACCCCTTAAAATATTTTTTATTCTAAAAAATTTAAACCTAGTGTTTTTGTATTAGATAGAACACATTTAGGGGGTGAGAGCAGATTATTTTCAAAAATGTTGTTTTTTGGGACACCCTAATGTGCATGAATTTATAAAAGCAGTTTTTACTTGGGATATCATCTTTAAATGGTGTTTTTAGACCTCGTCCTTTATATATATATTTTTTTTGTACTGTCTTAATTAATAATTTATTTGTTATCGCAAAACCCATGTTAGCGCACTGCATTAACCAAGCAACCAATTCGTTCTCTATTTCTTCTCAAAGATATGATTTAAAGCCAGAGTTTTACCGTTTGGGTTGGCTTTTAATAGATGATTTGTTGCATAAGGTACTTTCAGGAACATATTTCAGGAACAACTTTCAGGAATATTTTTTTTCTTTTTTGAACCTTGCATCTTTCCAATGGAATTCATTTCAAGTAATAAATAAAGTATAAAAAACATATTAAATAAATACTCCCTAAGGTTAAGTTATCTTTAACTGGTAATTTAGTTTAACTTAAATGGTTTCTTAGAGAGAAAACTTCAAAAAATAAAACACTTACGAAAAAATATTTTTATAGTTTTTGTAATTATCTACCGTGTAAAGGATTAAACAATGTTATACAAAAAATGATAATATTTTTTGATAAAATTAAAAATATTCAATGTTTTTTATCAAAAAAAAAAAAAAATTTTAAGCCATAAAAAAAACTAGACAACCATTAAAGATTTTCTTAAAAAAATATCTCAAATCTTTAAAAATATATCTTTTTAAAAATATATTATTACTGAAATAAGTTGGTTTTGTTTAAAACAAAACAAAAAAAATAAATTTAAAATAAAAACATTAAAATTTTACTGATTTTTTCAAAAACCACTGTAGGTGCTTCTTCATGGTAAGGGGTGCCATAACCCAATCTGTTTTTTATCTAATAAAAAAAATATTCCACAAATGTTTTTTTACAACAATTAATTACAGTTTAATGTTTTCTGCTTGATCTGTTTTAAAACACTGTTTAAAATAAACTTATTGAAAAAGTTTTTGCGTAACATAAATTGCGAAATGCGTATGTGAAATTGTGAATACATACGTAAAACTCAAATAGGGAAACGCTTCTTAACAAGGCCTGATAGATATATTTTTTTCAAATTCTTTATTTCTCTAGTTTGTTTATCTCTTTTAGATAAATATGCAATACATATTTTATAAGTAATAAATTTAATTACGTCATGAACATAATATACAAATGTTACATTTGACTATGTTTTTTGTTTTTAAATTAGGAAAAAACACAGTCCAATTTTTTGTGATAACTTTAACTAAATTATTCAAGACAGCTTCTGAAAAAATAAATTGAGCTCCACATTGTATTTTTATAATTTCACTTACTCCCTCGCCCTTTTCCAGTGAAATTACAATAATTTTTTGAAATTTAGGATCAGATTTATAAAACTACCAAGGAAACAGAATCAGCAAGTCAATAATAACTAAAGGAACAATTTAATATGATTAGAACTGTTTTAGTTATATTACTGTCAACTTCTTTTTATTTCTTTTGATTTTCCATCATTTTTGTTTTATAATCAAAAAATTTATGTAGATTTTTTTTTTTTTTTTTCTGTTTTTAGAAAAGATTTCTCTCCAATTTTTATTAATAACTCTACCTAAAATATTCAGAATAAAATTTAAAAAAAAAAACAACAACCTACATCTGCATTTTTGTAATTAAACTCACCCCATTAAAATTATGATAAAATTTAATTTTAAGGAGTTATGTTCATTTAAAAATTTTTAAAGTTGTATCATCAAATTCCTTGCCCCAAAGTATGTAAGTCTACATATTTTTAGCATTCCACTACATACAGGACAGAAACAAGGACCAAACAGTTTTTTAAAATGGCACATTTTTGTTGGTTTAAGGCAAAGTTAAAAAAGTTATATCTTTGGAATTAGATTAAATCTTGCGAATGTTCATAATTTATTAAAATCTTTGAGTGATGTAATAATCAGTAGACTTAGAATTGCATAATGAAATTGTTCCAAAGAATTCTGGATCCATATTTAAATATAATTTTATTTTAAAAAAATATAATAATCATATCAAATGCATTGATTAAATGTGTACCTGTAAAAAATTAATAAGTTCTTGAAAAATAAAGTTGATTAGTTCATGATTAATGTTTTTTGCTAATTCAAAATTCAAAACAAATTTAGATTTGATAAATTTTGGGTTCCTAATGTTTATTGATTAGAAGTTTAGTGCTCAAAAATATGTATTTGGATTTTAAATAATGTTGATATGATGAAATTATTTAGAAAGGTTTAAAAAGATATTGCAGCAAATATTTGAAGATAAAAAGTAAAAACAGTAAAATATAAAAATAGTTTTATATCTAATCATAAATATGGTTTTCAAACCATTAACCATGTTTTCAAACATATCAAAATATATCTAGTTTGAAAATATACGCTCATAAGATCTGCTTGTGAAATCTGCTCATGAGACCTGCTTTTATACTTATTTGAACCACAATCTTAGCATTACTTTGGAGTATGGGAATAAATAATTTTGTTTTTTTGTTAATTTTGAGACACCAGGATCAGATCTCTCTAAAAAATAACTGTCTTATAAAAGAATCTTTTTCTGATCATTTTTCTTAAGCTGTCTTATAAAAGAGTAGTTTTTTATATTTTTGTTTTTTGCTTTAAGACCTTCCTCAGATATCATTAAGAACAATTATTTTAGCAGAGTGATGAAGGATTCAATTCTGAGTGTGGTTAGTTTGTGCTCGTGACATATTTTTAATAATGTTAAATGTAGCATTATAACATAACTCCTGAAGTCTGTTAATTTTAATTTTAGATTGAGAAGAACCTATACAAAATATTACACTGATTTGAAAATAAAATATTAACATGCTATCTTTGTGCATAAGAGTACATAGATCTTTTATTGTAAGAAATGATTCTTCAGAAAAAAGACTTTGTGACCTTATTGTAGGTGTCCCTCATTTCTCACCAAGTGTTGCAACTCTTCTAATCTAATTGCAGTTTAGCGTATTCTTTTGTTATTATAATAACCCTGTTTCTTGCATTACGTATTGGTTTACCAACCGGTGGTATTTTTTCAACCCAAGGTCTATAGTCTATATGAAACTGATACAATACTTTTAAAAAGAAAGTCACATTTAAATATGAATGTGTAATTCATATGATTTTTTTATCAGATTTAGTTAATGGTTTTTAAGTTTTTGTTTGTTAAAGTTGTTATGACAACAGATTCATGTGATAAAATTTCATGTGATAAAATCTCTAGTTTTAGTAGGAATGATCTTCATTCAATCAAAAAATGGTTTTTAAGTTTTTGTTTGTTAAAGTTGTTATGACAACAGATTCATGTGATAAAATTTCTTGTGATAAAATCTCTATTTTTAGTAGGAATGATCTTCATTCAATCAAAAAATTTTCACATCTTCATTCTTAGCATATTCATTCTCTAGTTTTCTCTATTATATCAATATTTCTTTTTGAATCGATCAAAAAAATTTCACAACTTCTCAATATTTGTCCATTACTATTTGTTTTGAAAAATAGACAGTTTTAGTCCACTGATGAAGCCTATAAAATTTTCTTTCAATCATTTCTTTTGATCTCAATGTTGCTCTGCTTCATCACAAACTTTTTTGTCTATTTCCATCATTAGTCCACTGGCCAAGTGCAGGTAATGTTATTAATGTGCAGGTAAATAATTTTGAATTTGTTAATAAATCAAATCAGCTAGTGGTGTAATCAATTACAAGAGGTAAACATTTTTATCATTTTTATCACAAAAGATTTTAAAATTTTTTTTAAGGATTCAACTAATCATGACAAAAAAATAATACTTTGTAAAAACTAAGAAAATATTCATAATAACAAACATAATTGAACATTATAAAATATTTGAAAATTATGAGAGTTTTATATATTTTATCAATTTTGATTTTAGTTAAAAATATTTGATAATTACTTTATTAATATAATTTAATAAATTAATTTTATATTTGTTTTTTATAGTTGTATTAGTTGTATTGTAATTTTGTATAATAAATTTATTATGATATTTATTTAATTAGATTTTGCAATATAACATTATTATGATATTCTTTTAATTTATTAATAAAGTTATATAATAAAGTATACATTTATAAAAATATATATTATATATATTATAAAAATTTTATAGTAAATAATTCCTCAGAAGTTTTTTTCTACTTTATGACTTTAGGGAATTTATCTTTTTTAACTCAGCCTTCTTCAGAAGAAAATGTTTATCTTGGTGGTTCAATAACTTTAAATTGCACTGTGCAAGGTTATCCAAAGCCCTGGGTGAACTGGTTAACTTTAAATAACAATCGTACAACAATCTCCTCTACAAAAGTCTTAGTTGAAACACAGGATAATATTATTGTAGAAATATTGTTGACAATTAATAACATTACGTTTGATGACAATGGTACTTACACCTGTGTCGCTAGTATCAGTAATGTCATTAAAACAACAATTACAACTCTAAATGTTATATGTGAGTTTAGCTATAATTAAAGTTTTTTCTGAATTTTTATTTATTTGTATGAACAATGGCTGTATATTTACTTATTGTTATTAATTTTAGTAGCAAGATAGAAATAAACTGTTATTTGCAAATAACAGCAACAATAACATTTTATGTTAGTAAATTTATATATTGTTACTTATGTAAAAGCAATTAAAAAATCATTATTTATAGTTTTTTGTTTATTATTATGTAAAATATGAAATAAGTTTAGTTGAAAATTATTATTAAAAAATTATTATAAAAAAAATTAATTAAAAAAAAAAATTATAATACAACCCTCCTCCCTTACTGATGATCCTACAAAAAGAGAAACTGACAGAAAAAGATAAAAAAAACCATAAAAACCAAATATTTTTCTTTATGTGTACTATTATTTAAGTATATATTTTTTTAAAGTATTTTGTTTTGCTACATTTTAAATCGTATACCTTACTAAATTTATTATGTAATAGAGTTGTCTTATTCCACAGAAAGTATGATTTAATTTTTTATTTGATAAAAAAAAATCTTTTTTTATAATCTTTGCTTCCTAATAGTTTTTTATTAATGTTTTAAGTGAAGTTAAAGGTCATCCAAAATTTATGTCATGCAGTAAAAAAGAAGAGAGGAGGGTTTATAGATTTATAGCTTTGCTTCCTAATAGTTTTTTATTAATGTTTTAAGTGAAGTTAGTTAGTTTATGTCATGCAATAAAAAAGAAGAGAGGAGGGTTTATAGATTTTGATTTTTGATTTATAGAAAACTTTTGATTAATAGTGTACCTAGCCAAAAAATGTAGTTAATGTAGGCTCTGCTGGGTTTGATAGTTTTATCAGCCATGATAAGTATTTTTTATCAAAAATTAAATGTCTTTGAAGTTTATCTATTCATTTCACTGTTTGTACAACTTTAATGAAAATAAAATACACTAATAATAATGTACACTCCACTTCCTCTATACCTACTCAAGTCAGTTGATGTATGTTTATAGTTGATGTATAACTACACTGCAACTACTGCTGTCATTTAATATATGGATTGATACGCTTAATCTGCAAAAATTTGAAAAGTATAAACATTAAGTAAATTTAATTTAAATAAAGTAAATTTAAACATTAAGTAAATATTGATAAATTAAAAAATATGTTAAAAACTAAAAAATATACTTTTTAAAAAAATATGTTAAAAACTAAAAAGAAAATTTTAAAAGAAAAGTTTTAAAATAATTTTAAAAGAAAGTTAAGTTTGCTCCCAAGTTAGCCATGTCTCCCAACTAGAATTTTTTATCATCCTCGGCTTAATACATAGATTTTGAAAAACACAAAAATTTAATTATTTTTTTTTGCATACATAATTTTTACTGAGGACTTATTATATGTAGGCGCATGCAAATAGTGACTTTCAAAGTAATATTAAATAATGTTAATTAAAATTTATATGTACTTTAATATAATATTAATTAATTTTTTTATGTATTGAAATGCATTATTAAGTTAATTAAAAGCAGCTAAAAAATTTAAAATAGTCAAAATAAAGACATCAAAATAAAGACATCAAACACATGCACTGCTGACTTTTTGAATTTTCAACCTTTTTTTTTTGAGTTTTAAAAGAAAATTTAAAAATAATTTTAAAAGGAAATTAAAATTTTTAATAAGCTACTTTTTACTTTTACTTTAGTAAACTTTTTGACTGGTAACTTTATTTACTTGAGTAAAATACACAGAATGAACTTGTAAAAAAAATAATAGATATTGTGTGCTAACTCAAGTTTTTTTTCCAAGGTATTAACATACTAACTATTAATAACCTAATCCTCATTTTTTTTAGCAATCAAACCTCCTGTACCTTTTTCTCCAGCAAGTTTTCAAGCACCAAGTTCTTGGCATAAAGGTATGTTTTATTTAATTTTTAGATTGAAGTTCATTTTTCTAATAAGAAACTGTTACAAAATTTTTTAAAAATTGTTGAAGCTGTTTCGAATTAACACAAAAAGTTTGAATTTTTTTTTTTTTTTTATCAATTGTTTTCGTCACAAACAAATTTTGCTTTTTTAGTCCCAACAAGGCTATTACCCACTATTAAGTTTGTAGTTACTAAAAAAAGAGTTAAGACTTGAAAAGTTAAAAGTTGTATGAATCAGGAAAATGTAAAGTCTCAGATGGACTGAGACTTTGCTGATTGACAAGTCAAGCAAGAATGAATTTTATTTGATGGAACTAGAGAAGATTGCTCCTTTGAGCAGTGACTATTGTAGTACTTGTAGAAAAGACCTTATGACAACCAGAGAGAGGCTTGGTAGGTAAAGCAGGTCTGACTATGTTTGTCTAACTGATTAGAAAAAAAAGAGCCCATTAGAAAAACCAGCCCAAATATGACAAAAGAATTTCATACAAGGACAAATAAGAGATTTGTATAATATCGTAGAGAATGGATTAATGAGTAATTTTTTTTTTTTAATTTATTTACCTCCCCAAGACTTGAGGGGGCCACTACAGTCAAGGAGGCTACTCATTTTTTTTGTTGTTGTTGTAAATCATGGTACAACCCTCTCTCAACTCTTTAACTCCAAAACACAAACCTTGACAAGCAAGACCGCTATGCGGATAATACTTTAAACTATAAAAATATATACAAATAATTTAAAGTATTGCCTTATCAAACTGTTGCAAAAATATTTTTTGCCCTAAAAAATAAAAGTTTTTCTTTAAAAAGAAGTTTTGGTAACTCTGGTTTGCTTATTTAAATTGTCTGTTAAATAAATCTGTTTAATCTATCTGTTTAAATATTTAAATTAAACTAAATTTAGTTTTTGAGTTACTGAACTTTATAGTTTTAACTCTAAAAATGAATTGTGAATTATTTTTGACCAATGTTTGAATTAAATGTTTTAGAGTCGTACTCACAAACAAATAGTTTTGAAGTAATAATCAAGTTTTCAAATTTAAAAATTTTTAAATAAAGGATGCTGAAGGATTTAATTTTGTATAAAATATTTATAATTTTTAAATTCTTTATAAAAATCTGCTTCTTTCAAGTACCAAATTGACATCCAGAGCCCCGGAGAGCCCTTTTTTAAAAATTTTCAAAAGTTCTCATTTTACGGCAATATTTTCAAAAATTGTATCTTTAAAAAATACAACTAAGTAACATAAATACCAAATAAAATGCATTATTATACATTTTTTAGAAATTAAAATATTAAATACATACTTAAATGCATTATTAGATATTCTTTAGAAATTAAACTAACAAAAAATGGCCTATATAAAACACTTTTCTTGCTTTTTTACTGGTAAAATTTGTTATTGTATTATCATATGACAAAGTCTTATTCAACTCATTTTCCACTGAGAGCATCATGATATCTGAAAGGCATTCTTGTCCCATGGTGGCCCTACAATAATTCTTTATCAATTTAGTTTTACTGAAAGATCATTCACCCTCTGCAAAAGATACTGGCATTGTAATAAAAATTCAAATTAAGATGCATACATATAGGAAAATAGGCTGCAGACTTTTTAAATGTATTCGGTTGAGAAGGCTCAATGAGTTTCCAGGAATAAAAAATGAAGACTCCTTTAAACAATTAAGATGCAAAGTTTTTGGTATGAAGATGTCTTCTTTAATATCTTTAGCATAGAATGTTGTTTACCTCAAATTGATGCTTGAGGTTCTCATAGCAGAAAGCTGCATTTGCAGGTTCATCATGATACTGTTTTGCTCTCTTCTTTTGTTTTGCCAAAATTCCTTCAAATGCCTAGAGGACCTGCAATAACTTTCGCTTCAGCCAAAATATTATTCCATTATGAGCGTATGCAGTCAAGATTTTTTTTTAAAACATCTTCGCTTCCAACAAGGCTGCAAGCAACCACTAATTAGTGTTGGAAGTTACTGGAAGAAAAAAGATGAAGATTGTAGAGCAAGATAACGATTGACAGACGACTTAAAAGATCGCAAATTATATGAATCAGGAAAGCAAGATGAAGGAAGCGAATTCCAAAGAACTGATGTTCGAGGAAAAAAACTAGACAAATAAGAGTTTTTGGAGCACTTAAGAACAGTAACAGAAAAAGGATGAGACTTAATTGAATGATGAGTAACACGAGAATGAATTTTAGTAGATGGTACAAGAGACGCTAGCTCTTTAGAGCAGCGCCCATTATAATGTTTGTAGAAAAGAGAAGGAGAAGCAACATTACGACGATGTGACAGAGGTTGAAGGTTGGCTGCAAAAGCAGGTCCAACAATGTTTACAATGCGTTTTTGCACCTTGTCTAAAAGAGAAAGGGCATCATTAGAAGATCCACCCCAGATATGGCAACAGTATTCCATACAAGGCCGGATTTGAGATTTGTAGAGATAGAGAATAGAATCCAGAGTAAGAAAGTGTCGAGCTCGATAAAAAGAAGCAAGTTTAGCAGACGCTAATTTGCAACGGATTTGATATAAGGTTTCCAAGAAAGATCAGAAATAAGAGTTAATCCTAGAAGATGAAGGGTAGGAGACTCATCGAGTACATTACCGTTCATAAATATAGGAAGGTCTAAATTATTGCGATAACAATTGGCTGAAAAAAATTGAGTTTTATATGAATTAAAGTTCACCAGCCACTGTGAGCCCCATGCTGTAGCAAAAGTGAGATCCTTTTCGAAATCCATATTGATGATCAGAAAGTAGGTTATGAGATTCGAGATGAGAGATTAAGTGTTTGTTAATTAAAGATTCAAAAACCTTGCGTATGATAGGAAGAAGACTAATGGGATGGTATTTAGACGAATCGGATTGCTCTCCAGAATCTTTAAATATAGGGATAACAGATGCTGCTTTCCAGCAGGCTGGAAAACAAGACTCTGATAAGCACTTGTTAAATAGTTTTGAAAGGATAGACGACAGCTCTGGAGAACACTTCTGCAAGACTATAACAGGTATGTTGTCCGGGCCGCAAGCTGTAGAAGAGTCTAAGCAAGAAATCACTTTAAATACAGAAGCTGGAGTGATACGGATGTCGAGCAGTGGATCAACCTGTTTGACGGCTATATCAGGTAGAACCCAACTAGTGAAATCCAGAGATGATATTGATGAAAAGTTCTTGGCAAACAATTCAGCTTTGTCTTTAGGTGAGGTGACAAAGTCTGAACCGTACAAAAGAGGTGGAATTACAGACTTGCCCTTGTTATTGATACTATTAAAGATTCTTCAGAAGTCACGAGAGCCTAATTTTTGTGATGAAATACAAGATTTTATGATCTGAGAATAGCGGGCTTTGGCGCTAGACAAAACCTTTTTACAATGGTTCCTAGCAGTAATAAACAGACGTCTGTTTTCTAGAGAATTGTTTTGCTGATAGATATGGAAGTAATGGTTACAATTGGCAATTGCAGCAGCACAATATAAGGAAAACCTTGGAGAAGAGTGAGGCTTGACCTGGAATCGTCAAGAGGGAATAAAGAATTCCATGCCAGCCTGAATCCACGAAGTTATGTAAGAAGTACATTTGTCAACAAAAGATTTCTACCCAGGGGCCATCACAAAGAAAATCACGAAAAGAGTCCCAGTCAGTTTTAAGGTAGTTGTAAGATGTACAATGATAGGGGGATTCTGATGATAAAGAAGAATGAGATAATAGTTTTAGAGAGACCAAACCATGATCAGAAGCACCTAAGGGTGAGTGTGGTGAAACTGAGCACTGATTAGGATTAGAAACAAGACATAAGTCGAGTAGAGAAGGTAAATAATTCGGGAAAGCGAGTTGGAAAGTTGACTATTTGAGTTAAGGGATTGAGAAAGGCAAAAATTTTGGGCCTTAATGCCTGCAGAGTCACTGACACTAGAGCCAAGCCATTCAGTGTGATGAACATTAAAGACACAGACAACAACAATATTTTCTGATGGATAAAGAATGAGGGCTTGGTCAATATAATCAGAAATAACATCAAGAAGAGTGCAGTCTTGAGATGAAGGAGAGCGATATAGAACAATTAGAAAGGTGATAGAGTGAAGTGGTGCTAAACGAAAGCACATAAAAGAGTAGTCTGTGGATTCAAACCTAGTTTCCTGACAAATGGGTGAATTCTTACGAATGTAAATGTCTAGGCTAAGCATGTGACTATTGGAGTCTTTACGAATTAAAGGAAGATAACCATCAACACTAAGATCACAAGATGAGACAGCTGAACTCAAATTAGTCTCACAGTACTCTGATATATTTCAGCTGTTGATGGAATCAGTCTCTCTGAGAGCTACAAGTCAAGAATGCTTAGCTGTTGAATTAGAATAATTTAGTCATCTATTGTTAGTGAAGTTGACTGGAACAAATGGCTTACTCCATCTACTACTTAAAGAGTTTTATACTAAAAGGTCAGAAGCGCAACAGTTTCAAGGATTTAAAAATCTTTATCAAAGACCTAGCTTGATTTAGCATATCAGCAGTAATAATAATTTCACATGGTCGTTTTGGTAGACTTAATAGCGACAATCTGAGCTGTCAACCTGGTGTCAGAAAGCTTGTGAAGAGAGATTCCAGTCCATTCTCCAAAAATCTTCCACCTAAGCGGACTGCAGCTGAAGAACAGAAAGAGCTTGGATGTTACAGAAGAAAGTCTTCATCTCAGCACAAGATTCAACTGCATATACTCCAGCTAAATTAAAGCTATGGGTGCCACAAGGAATATAGAGGGCTAATGAATTTTTCTGTAAAATTAACATTTGTGCTTCGACATAAATTCCAGCCATATTTGAGCTGTTGTTGTAACCTTGGCCACAGCATTTCTGCAAGTCAAGACTTACTTTTATTAAAACATCACAAATTAGTTTTGCAATATTCACTCCGTTTTTTTTCTCCATGTCTTCAACACAAAGAAAGCGCTTTTTTATCTCCCAGCTTTTTTTGT